CGACATGCGTCTTGTCTTGGTGGAGGGCGGTGGGGAGGGGGGAGGGAGTGCGCGGAGCTCGCCACGAGGACCCCGTCAAAGAGTCGCCGCCCGGCCCCCGGGACTCCAGCAGCACCGCCTCATTATACCACTGCCCTCATTATGAGGTCGGCCAGTGCGTCGGATCCGCAAGAAGGCGGCCGCACACGTTTACCCTAATTGAAATAATTTATCGCGCCGTCAACCCCCGGCGCAGGCCGCCGCCCGCGCTCCCTCTAAATCACGCCCGTCCCCGCACCACCGCGGCGACCTGCTCCTGCTCTCCCCGAAATTGTGTTGTTGTTGTGCAGCGTTTGTCTCTTTCCAACTCACCGCTGCTCAGGTGGGTGCGACGGAGACGGGACGCTCGCTCGCTCTCTTTCTCCACTGCACTGCGGTAGCGGTGCGGCTCGGCCGAGCAAGCAGCCCCCTCCTGGAGCCCGTTGGCTCCTGGATGCTGTGCGGCTGCGGTGTGGGCGGCGGCGGTGGTGGCGTCCTGAGAGAGAGGAGACCGCGCGCCCAGGGTCCCCCCCCCCTGCTCCGGGGCACAAGAATTGCACCCACTGATGCGGAAGATTTCAGGTCGGCGAGGCGAGACGGAACGGAGACGAGCCCCGGAGTAGGGCGCTGCCTGCGCTGTGCTGTGCCCCCCGTATCCTGCCCTGTCCACAACCACCCTGTCGTTTGCCGGCCGGCGCGGCCCACCCCGCGGCCCCGAGGTGCACCCTGTGCTGTTGCTGCTGCTGCTGTGCTGTGGATATTGGCCCAGGCTTCGGGGCCGACCCGTAAAGGGGATTGTGGGGAAGGCTGTTGAGATAAGGGTGAGGTAGGAAATAAAAATTGGATTCGTTTCTGTCACAATAGTTTATTCAATACAAACAGTTTAGAAAATAACATGGTTAGAAACTTGATAATTTTTTGGTGATGCTAAAAATGGCAATTTCACATAAACGGAAACAAGGCAGGAGCTTGCCAATAAAGTCAAAAAGACATGTAACTTATATAACAGTATATAACACTGTACAGACTCTTTCTTTACAACTGATAAACTTTGGAAAAGCTACACATTTTCAGCTTACAGCTAGCATAAGGTAACAAAGACACATTAGCTTTAGGATGTGCCCATTTTCATTGCTTCTCAAGATAATATTGAATATTATGAAGCAATTAAAATGGGCACTAATTGTGAAAATTTGTTTCACATAACACAACAGTCGTCACAAAATTTCGACATGGATAAGAAGCGGCGTCGCGCGGCCAAGAACACCTAACAATGCATGATGATTTATTTTTACTAACCTGCAATTTGTTGCAACACTGCAAAATATGCTATGATCTTTTGCTAATCTGCATAACCAGTCGGAAACCTTTTGACATATTGCAACAATAAACAACTAACATTTAATTAAATAGGGAGATATAGGTATTATAGTTTTATTGCCCTTAGGGCAGGTAACCGCTTGCTAGACACTTAACAGCAAGAATCACAGGGCAAGAGATTTAAGCTAGGCTGCACGAATGCACATACAATCGTAATCATAAATAAAAACCTTTAACTATTTAAGGCGATATGAGTTTAGCTCTCAGCAGAAAATTGTCTCTACAAGTCAATAATGGCCTTTTGGTCTGTGTCCTACTAACGCTGGGTCGATATGCAGACTGATATGAACAACCGTTGTACAACATCGCATCCAAACACAACACAAACGTCTACACCTACAAACAAAGTCAGGCTACTTTGAGCGGTGACTTTCAGACTTTGACGCTTCATTTGGACCATATCTCAGACTTAAAGCACACAAAGCAGCTCTCCTCACGCAAACGCCAAATGCAATTACTTCCAAACGGGAGGAGAGCTCATTAAGTTACACACTGGAACAACGCCTTAAAGACAGAACTAACGGATGGATGGAAAGGCTGCTGGAATGACACTTCGGAGGCGGCGGCGGCGTCTCCTCGCACGCCATCCTCTCGATATAACAGGCGAGGGTTCCGGGGGCCTTTGGCAGTCTTGCAGAAGCCGAATAAAAAAACTGCCGTCCCCTCGCAAGTAGCGCAATAGGCCCGCCCCGCCCCCCGCCCGTCCCACGCTCCGTAAAACTGGAAAGTTGTGGCGGCCAACTTTTCCCCATCACTCGTTTGACTTTGCGGCGCGCGGGGCCACGCAGGGCGCGGCGGGGGGACGCCCTGCGGTCCCGTGGCCGTGACGGGGCGCGACGCTCTCCGGAGGAGGAGGCTGGAGGCGCCAGCTGTTGCTGCTCGTCCACCGCACCTGCCGCGGCTACCGCCACTATCGCGCGTCGTCGGGCGCACCTGCAGCGCCAGCTGCCGCGGCGGGCGGGGTGGGCGCGGCCAGGGGGCGCGGCCGGGGCCGGTCGCACTTGTCGCCCGACCAGGAGGAGCACCAGCACCACGCCCACGAGTCAGGGAGGCAGCCGGCGGTCGGCGAACCTGCGGGTGGAAAGGACAAAGCACGTCAGGTGGTGGGCGGTCGGTGTGCTTCGCAGCTGCGAGCTGCGCTGCAGCCGTCCATGCAGGGAGAAGCTCCATGGAAAGCTTTGAGGCCAAGCACACGGGGGTACTCACGCTCGTAGGTCCAGTGCTTGGGCTGCTGGCCGGCGGGCTGCGGCCGCGGCCCCTGCTGGTTGTCCCGCCGCGAGCCGCGCGGGTGCTGGCCGCGGCTGCGCGGGCTCGACGACGCGGCCTCCCTGGACGGCCAGCCCCTGTCGTCGCGGCCGTACACGCCTAAGGGGTCGGAGGACAAGCTCGGCGTTATGGACAACAAGCGACGACATACGGAGACACGGAAGGCTTGCGCTCAAAGCAGATACCTACCAGGGGCGTCCTCCTTGCCGGAGTCGCGGCCCTCCCGGCTGTCCCTCCCGCTGCACGAGGGCGGCGCCGAGCCCAGGCTCTCGTACCCGGAGCTGGACCCGTGGTTTCCGGAGCCCCCCGAGCCGGAGCCAGTGCCGGAGCCCGTGCCGGATCCCGTCCCGGAGCCGGCCGAGCCAGCCGAGCCGGGGCCGGGGGCCGTGCAGCCCAGGACCGAGTCCAGGACGGGCAGCCCGCTCAGGCTGGGCATCCCGGAGTGGAGGCCGTCGGCGCTCACGGGCGTGCTGCTTCTACTCCTGGGGGTTGACGGCGGCAGGCAGACACAGGCGGGTATAGGGTTAGTCACAACAGGTCAGGCAGGCGGCAACGGCGGCGGTGGCAAGCGCAGGAGGGAGAGAGAGGAAGGTGCGGCGGGCAGGGCGCTTACCTGGGCGAGGCCGAGTGGTCCGAGAGGCTGAGCAGCCGCTGGTGGAGGCGCGAGGTGGGCGAGACCGGCAGCGGCGGCGGCACCACGGGCTCCTCGTCCGAGTCCACGGGCGAGGCGGGCGCGGCGAGCACCGCCAGCACGCCAGAGTCTGCGAGCAGAGCAGAGAGAGATCAAACGTCAGTCGTCAGCGTCTGTCGAGGCGGGGGCGCGACAGGGCGCGGCGCGGGGGAGGCTGTGAGACAGTTGACATCCTCTCGCGCGATAAGAGATCTGCCCTCCAGTCCTCCCCGGAGCCATAGAGCCGCGCTCGCAAATTAATCAGCGCGCCTCGCTCGCTCGCGGGAGGAAAGTGGGGCAAAGTTTCCGCTCGGGCGCGCAAAGTTTGCACGAGGAAATAATTTGCATGAGGAAACAGGGCTGCAGACGACATGTTTCGCAAAGCGGGCGGACAGATATATAAATAGCAATCAGGTCCACGTCGCACCCGGCGGGGCCCGGCGGGACCGCCTCATCAAAAGTCAGGACTGTTGTGACGCGGCGGTGGCGGCGGCTGGAGCGGGGGAGCAAGGGCCGGGCCGCTCTCCAGACACAACCGCACTCGGCGGTCCACAGGAGGCCACCCCCTTCCCTCCTGTCCCGTCGAGACTCACCCATGATCGGGAGGACGTTGGCGGCCTTGAGCTTGGCGTCGATCTTCCTCTCGATCTCCTCGCAGTCGATGGCGGAGGTGAGCGTGGCCGCCGGGACCGGGGCGGGCAGCGGCGCGAGCAGCGACTCCTCCTTGAGGTCCGGGTTAGACGCGCCGTCGGGGTGCCTCAGGTTGCCGTAGTAGCGGTGCAGCGACCCCCGCGCCGCGCGGCCCGCCGTGTGCACGGGGCTGCACTGCCACGAGGCGGGCGCGAAGCTGCGGTGGCAGTTGTCGCAGAGGGTGCCGTTGCAGTGGCCCGAGTGGTGGTGGTGGTTGGGTTGCTGCTGCTGCTGCTGCTGCTGCTGCTGCTGCTGCTGCTGGGGCGGCTGCTGCAGCCGGTAGGGCGGCTCGCTGTAGATGGAGCCCGCCTCGCTGGCGGCGTGCTCGCCGTCGCCCTCGCCGTCGCGCTCCATGTCGGAGGGCGCGCCGTTGCTGCCGAGGCCGTGCAGCACGTCCGACAGCGACATGGACAGCGACGTGCAGCGGGAGGCGGCCGTCAGCCCCACGGGGGGAGGCAGCACGCCCGCGGGCCGCCGCGTGGCCGCCGCCATCTTGGTGCGGTACATGTCGTGCAGGCGCGCCAGGTGCAGCTGCGACCCCTGGGGCAGCGGGCTGCCGCCGTCCGCGCTGCCGCCGTCGCTGCCGCGCCGCCCGAGGCGACAGCACGCCGGGCCCGTCGCGCCCCCCGAGTGGTGGAAGTTGGGGCCGAACCTCGACCGGAGCGGGCAGTACTCGGGCTCCAGGTCCGACGCCAGCGACAGCGTGTCTGTCAATAAGCATTGAAAATTGTTAAAGAAAATACAGGATAAAAAGCCGACTTTGTCATCGGAAGGCATCCAATACCTGCGAAGGTCGACACCACGGTGAGGTTCTCCTGGGACAGCACCCTTAGGGGATGCTCTTCTGGGTCGCCCTGGTCCACCTCGGGGAGGGGGTTCTCACCCATGCACAGGGCGATGTCCTCCTCGGTCACCTGCAGCAGCAGACACACACAGTCGGGGTTCATCAACAATTCATAGACCAGCTCATACGTTTTGCAAAGTGAGTACGTGGCGAGAGAGGGAGATGGCTCCGGCACCCCCAGCGCCACCTAAACACTACACAGCGCTGAGCAGCACACCGCCGACAACCAAACCCACACCAAGCGGAGAAAACGGAAAAAGGGAGATCGAGAGAAAGGAGACCTATGAAATTGACTCCAGAATCGAAAAGGGCGGTGGTAATAAAACTCATGACAAATGCATAAAACCAGGGAGAGGAGGAAAAGCAGTTCAGAGAAAAGAGAGAGGGAGCAAAGGGGCGAGGGTGGGGGGCGAGAATGGGAGTGGCGGAGGGGAGAGCGGAGAGCGCAGGAGAGCGCAAAGGGCGCTGGCTGTAGGAGGAAGAGAGAAAGGGTGGGGGGTGGGGGGTGGAGGAAGCACGGAGCGAAAGAGGAAGAGCATGTCAGTGCAGGGGCGATGTAGGGGAGCAGCCAGGGGGGAGCTGGAGAGCAGAGGCGGCAGCAGCAGCAGCGGCCCAGTCCATTGCCATGTGCTGAGACGCACATTAACTGCCTCCCTTAATCCGCTCATGACTCAAGCCGGGGAACCAACCCCCTACGGGGCCAGGCCAGCAACAACCCTTTCGGATCCGCATAAACCACCCGCAGGGCAGCCGGGGGCTAGGCTAGGGCTAGTCCGGGACACGCCACGCCCTCTGCCGATTTCCTAGTTTATAATAACACACGGCACATTGGCTCTGGTGCGTTGGGGCTACTCAACTTATCACCCCTGGCAGTCGGTGCGACACGGAAGCGCTCTCCCTTTCCCTCTCGCCGCCGGGCCGGCCGTGGTCTTTATCCTCCATCTCCCTCCTCCTGCTGCTGCTGCTGCTCCGCGCCGCCCCTGCGCGCCTGCC